TATTTTCCTTTTGCTTTATTCCTTTTTGAGGTTCGGATCTTATGTTTTTTTACTTTTTTTTTCACTCTTTTGGGAGTTTATATCTTTGAACATTTTGTTGTTCATTTTCATTAATTAGTGAAAGTTCGTTTAAAAAAAAACACAGGGTTTCTTTGAACAAAAAAATTTATGTTCAGTAGTAGCATTTTGTCTTTACAAATATTCACTGTTTATTGGTGCTTAGCTTTACTGCTCTCTTTTTTTGTATAATCATTCCATTTTCTCATGCGCCCCTCTGCTAGAATTCTGGTATTTTTTATGATGTAATTGTAGTATAAGAGATTAAATGCTTTTGATCTGATTGTGAAAAGGGTCTAGTAGTCTCTAATGCCTATTAGTAGTTACAAATTTTAGAAACGTAAAGGACTTCTTACACGAGTCTTAATTGAACAAATTACAAGTTCTCTTCTTATTCCTCTCATCAATGTTTGAGCTCACCTCGGGTAATGTCATTGGACAATTGTTTGACACTACAACTTTTAGGTATCTTTTATGGGGAGGCCAAAGTTTATATGCAATACTGAAATACTAGTAGCAAATGGCATAATACATTGTGATAATATTTAAAGAAGCCATAAGGTGGCTCTTTATTATCTGGGAATGGATATGAAAGAGGAATTTACATCATTAGTCAATCAATGTAGACAGAAGTTTTGTTCCCTTGTAAAAAATGATGAATAAGAAGAAATCTTCAGCCAAGCAATATTTTGTTCCTCCAACTTGTCTTGAAATTTTCTTTGTTTATTTCCATGCAAATTTGATGAAGTATACCTTCTTTTTTCCTTTGCTTGAAATATTATAACTGTATTAATGAAGTCAATAATACCGATCTACCCTAATATGATTTGTATGAACTGGGAGGCCTTTATAACTCCTTTTTTGTTTTATTCTATTTTTTATTCTCTTTCACTCCTTTGGGAGTTTGTATCCTTGAACAATTTTGTTTTTTTTCATCCATCAATGAAAAATTCGTATCTTGTTAAAAAAAAAATAATTCCGATCTACCCTAATTTTTTTTTCTCTCACATGTGGCATAATGAGTTGTAGGTTTTGTTTGTGACTAGATTAGCTGCATACTTTAAATCAGCAATATGGCAGTGCCATGTATGGTGAGAATCCTTTTCTTGGTATCACGCATTTAAGTCCTTGTATTCTTGCTTGCAGGTGGAAAATGAACTTCCAGAAAAGATTGAAAGACTTGTGAGATGTGAGGCTTCTGCATATCAAAAACTTTTGATGAGGAGAGTAGAGGACAACCTTGGTTCAATTGGAAGTACAAAGGTTCCTTCACTTTATTTCTATTTCTGCATATTTTTGACTAGAAATTTGCAATTATAGTTACTAAGATAATTCAATTGTTACCCACTCTCTCACTCAAAAGATTTTCCTTCCAGGTCCGATCAGTGCATAACTCGGTGATGGAGCTGCGTAATATCTGCAACCATCCTTATCTTAGCCAACTTCATGCAGAGGAGGTATGCCTTCCTTTTCTTTTAGTGCAATTTATTTATTGAATGGTTTTTGGATAACTAAATTGAGGGAAAGGTGACGGGTAGAATGTTCCAACCCACCCCACCAAATTGTATCCTCGATTCAATGTTTTCTCTTTAGCTTATATCCATTTTGACGATGCATAAGCAAGAGTTGGAAGCTTAAACTACCTTATTTGCTGCTTGTTGGTATTTGCCTCTTAAGAAACTTCTGTATTCTTGTCTAGGTTGACAATTTGATACCTAAGCATTATCTACCACCAATTGTTAGACTCTGTGGAAAGCTTGAGATGTTAGATAGAATATTACCAAAGCTAAAAGCAACTGATCATCGGGTAAGTAATCTTCATGTGGACAATATCAAGACTCAATGCTGATGTGTGTTCCTCTTTGTTGCTGTCGCTTAAAATTTTTTAATTTTCATTTATCATGGACATGAAATAGCATGTTAGGTTATGTCTATTATAGGTTAGTAGCATCGATTCACTTTTCACTTTAAGATACATTCCTTCCTTTTCTTTGAATTAGATCAGTTTCTTGAGCTGCCAATGTTTATATGTATTTCTGATTAGTTTAGTATCTATGTCAATGATTTCATTTCGTAATGAGCTTTTTTTTTTTAATCTGTTTGTGGTCTTATATCATTAAAGATATTTCAATATCTCTAATTGACTTCTAACTTTGCAGGTTCTCTTCTTTTCCACCATGACTAGATTGCTTGATGTCATGGAGGAATATCTTCACTGGAAACAATATCGATACCTACGATTAGATGGACATACATCTGGGGGTGATCGTGGTGCACTGATAGATCGATTTAATGGGCAAAATTCTCCCTATTTTATATTCCTTCTTAGGTAACCTCCGTCTTGCCTGCGCGATCAGTTGTTTGATAGATAGTATTATCTCGATTCTTAAATAGCATATTCTATAGTACCAACCAAGTTGTTTGTGATGTTAGCATTCGAGCTGGTGGTGTGGGAGTGAACCTCCAAGCTGCTGATACAGTGATTATCTTTGACACAGACTGGAATCCACAGGCATATACGACAAATTTTCAGGATTTTATGTCAAGATTCTGATGTAGCTGTCATTCTAAATCTGATTTACTGTGCGGATGTTGTCAGGTTGATCTACAGGCACAAGCAAGGGCTCATAGGATTGGCCAGAAGAGGGATGTGCTTGTTCTTAGATTTGAAACAGTAAGTTTTCTGGTCATGTCTTAGAAGTTAGCTTCACATATCTATATCTATATATATATATATATATATATTTATTTTTTTAAATTTTAACAAGAAACAACTTTTCATTGATAGATGAAAGGATAAAAAGTGTTCAAGGATACGAACTCGAAAAGGAGAATAACAGAAACCAACTACCAACCTAACAAAAAAAGCCAAAACAACAGCTCCAAAAAGATAAAACCAAAAACAAACCAAAAAAACCAGTTAGAAAACTAACAAACTAACCAGAACTAGATACAACTCCAGCTTAACAAAACCTAACAAAAGAACAGCAAGTCAAAACCTCAAAAAAAAGAGGTGAAACATAACTAAGAACAAACTGTCATCTTGGAAAAAGAAGTTAAGCTCTGTTTATTGGAACAAGAGTAATGCCCACTTGGTTGAAATAATCTGACAAATCTTTGGGGACCAAACATTTGCTGAATAGCTCTTGCAATGAGTCATCTTCAGATAGTGAACAATAATTTTCTTTATCTTCAGCCTCATCGAATAGAGAAGGAAGACCATCTTCAGAGAAAACATCAAAACTGCTGGCAATTGAGTCTTCAACAATGACTTTTCTATCACAAGAATCATAATTCATAACTACTAACGCTAATAATTGAGGTCACATTTACTTAACCGCAATCGTAATAGAAAGCAATCGTAATGAAAATCAATCGTAATGAAATCAATCGGAATCGTAATGTTATTCCATTGAGGTTGTTTACTAGAAATGTTCTGGAATAATTCCTTTGATATTGTTTACTAAAATTGTCTGGAATCAGAATCGGAATCGGAATCAAATATGACAATTACTAATATAATCCTTTCTCATTTTTAGCCAATTACAAATATATTATTGTGCTAATCTTTTTTAACTTACAATAATAATAAATTTTAATTTAATTTATTACTATATTATTGATGGTAAAAATTTCTTATTATAACAATTTATCTAATATTAATACATAAGGAATAATTAAAATAAAATTACATCAAATAAAATATTTTTTATTAGAACAACCAAACTTTAATAAAACATATTATTAAGTTTTATTATTCTAATATTTAAAATTAATAATATCTATTTAAAGAATTTATTGATATTAATTAATATTAATATTATATAATAAAATCACATCAACTAATAAAAATTGGAGTATAAATGGAGAAGAAATTATAAAAGTATAAAAAAAACTAATTAAAAATTATATGGATCTAATCCATAGAGAAGGTAAAAGTGGTACATTAATTATAATATATATGTGGGGTCCATGGAATAAGGAATAGGAATGGGATTGATGAGGTTGTAGGAGTGTAATGAGATTACACCTTTTTATGTAATGGGATTACAAAGTTTGAGGTGGGTCCCACCATTTGATTACATTCCTACAATTTGGTAAACACCATCAAAGGAAATCAAAATTTTCATTACGATTCATTGATTACGATGGCGGGTAAGTAAATGGGGCCTGAATCTTCATCACCATCTGAGAATTCGGCCTCCAAAAGGGAACTTTGGATATTATCAATACTTGTAGTATCTGGTATTACTTCCATTCATCATCTTGTTTGTGTTGTATTTCTTTGCATTCGTAGGAATAAAAGTAATCCCCTTGTCTTGAAAGTACTACTGTGTGATGCAATAATAATTTCTATTGTTAATTGTTCTCTATCAATTTGTTTTTCATTTACCCCTTAGGTGACTGCATGTATTTGATAGAGATCCACGGTCTCCTATGCATATCACATAGGTGAGGCAAGACAAATGGTAGTTGGTTGAACTGTTAGTAGAGCGAGATTCGTTCATGAGTCAGTTACTTGGGCAGTTGAGTGAAATATATATGGAGATGAAGAGACCCCGGATTTTTAGAATAAGTTGAAAAGATTGAAATTCACAAATGACAAGATTGAACGATAAAATTTACTGGCTAACGTTCTATCTGATGCCATTATCAAGCTTTGGCATCGGAGTTTGGAAGGGCATGGCAAAAGGAAAGCATAATAAAATCGAGGAAGCAGAAGTTTGATTGGAGGAAATTCAGATTGGGTTTAGTTTTGATCTCTGAAAGACGAGTTGCAAAAGATCACATTAACAAATAATACACATGAAATACTAGGATTGCACAATCTCTGCAAGGTTGCTACGCATCAGAGACTAAGAGAAAGAATAAAGATCATTTGAAAAGATAAATGTGCAGTTAAATACTTCGACCGAAGCAACCCCCTGGCTTAAACCACCTCTTAATTTTTCATCTTCCTTTCTCACTCTATGCCCTTTGTGTTATCAGTTGTGATCTCTTCTTTGGCTTTGATTCATGTCTTCTGTTAAGTTATGGTCGTGGTAAACATTGGTGGAAATTCTTTTGCTTGATTGATCGAGAGCAAATCTATTAGTTTCTCAATTATTCAGAGGAAATTTAAAAGTTAGGTTAGGTGAGCTGGGGAGGTTTTACTGCTTGTTTATTCTTGCATCGTACTAGTGCTGTCTGGCAGACCTGCCAAAAAACAATTAATAGAAAGGGCTGCCAGGCAGTAAATATTAAGTTACTGACAGGTAATCGGCAGCACTAACCTAACTGACTCTAATAATACAACCATACAAGTGACCACAACTTCTTTTTTGGGGCCTAAAGATCTACTTTCATCAAGAGGAGTGAACGTATAAAAACATTAGCCGAACTGAGATGAAGGGATGCCAAAAAATAATTACAAGGTCTACAAGAAAGTGAAAATTGTAAAAAAAGTTCTTAAAAATGACAAAAATAAATATAAAAGGCCAAATGAACCAGAGAATAATTTACGGTTAAAATGACTGGATCAGCTGCGGTCAAACAATTGTTCAATTTTGAGTCTGCTGGGCTCTGGATTAACATTTGATTTCATGAGGGAATTGTGATTATGATTCTTTTGTTATTAATGCCAATTGGAGAGCCCTTTTGTAACCTACTTCAGTTTCCTTTTATATTCTTCATATTATCCATGAAAAGTTTTGTTACCTTCTTTCTTCTTTTTTTAAAAAATCTCTTAGTTGCTTGATTCAGTCTGATGGATTGGTATGCCATTATCTTTTCATGCTTAGAAAAAAGTTAAGTGGGTCAGGGGAACAAGAGTGATAAAAGGGGTGGGTATTGTCAATTTTTCATCTTTTCACGTGTTTGTGATTGGGCACATCCTGATCTTCTTTCTTGCCTGAATCTTTCCCCATATCAAGGTTCAAACAGTGGAAGAACAAGTGAGAGCTGCCGCGGAGCATAAACTTGGAGTGGCTAACCAGAGTATTACAGCTGGTTTTTTTGACAACAATACAAGGTTAGTTGTCCTTGTGAAAAGCCATGTTGTTCACTTGAGGCACTAAATGGTTTTTTGCCTATTTGCTATACTGTAGTGCTGAAGATCGAAGGGAATATTTGGAATCTCTTCTACGTGAGTGTAAGAAAGAAGAAGCCGCACCTGTACTGGATGATGATGCTCTGAATGATCTCCTAGCACGCAGGTTCATCTTGTTTCAAGCCCTATTCTTGTTACTTGAAATTTTATGCAGCTGGTTATGTGTCCCTTAAAAGGGGAAAAGGGTACTTCTTCTTGTTCATGAGGTGTTTAGGACTTCTTGTTGCCTTGTCTCAAGAATAACTGCCCTCGACTTCCATGAAGAATAATTAGAAGAATAAGAAAATCATAGTTTATATTAACCATTGTCTTCCTGTTCACAGTGAGTCAGAGATCGATGTGTTTGAAACAATCGATAAAGAACGGCGAGAGCAAGAGACGGTATGCAAATCAACACTCCTCAAGTCTTCTCTTTTATTCATACCATGTAAACTAACAGAGAAAGAGAGAGTAATCATGTAACAATCTTCTAAACATTAATTTTGCAGGCGACATGGAAGAAGCTGGTGCTTGGTCATGGATTTTCTGAGCCTGTTCCTTCAATTCCTTCACGTCTTGTAACAGATGATGACCTGAAAGAATTCTATGAAGCAATGAAGATAACTGAAGTACCAAAATCTGGGGAGGTTGCCCATGTAGGGGTAAAGAGGAAGAGCGAGTATCTTGGGAGCCTTGACACCCAACATTACGGGAGAGGAAAGCGGACGAGAGAGGTTTGAGGAGTGTTTTACTACTTGTGAATGTGTTATACCTTGAACTCTTCTGCCTGTTATTTATATCTTTTTTATTTGCATTAAACTTCCTATTTTAATAGGTACGATCCTACGAGGAACAGTGGACAGAAGAGGAATTTGAAAAGATGTGCAAGGTTGACTCACCTGAATCCCCCAGGCCAAAGGAAGCTGTGACAGGAGAATCATCGACCAATATTAGTGGATCAGTAGCAGCTGTTTTGAAGAAAGAACTTCCTACTACCTCCCCACTGCCTCCTGTTCAGCCTACACCTCAGCTTCAAACACCACCTTCGAAGCGAGGTCGTGGAAGACCAAAAAGGTCTACTGTAGATAAGTTGCCTGCTCCAGTGGTTCCTCCATCTCCTTCTGTAACAGGCAAAGTGGACATGAGGTTACAAGGAGAAACTATTTCAAGCATTCATAAAACTGGTTTCCTTGATTCTTTGCCTAGTCAAGGAACAAGTGATCAGCTTGCTACAGGTAGTACTCCAAACTCTCAGTTAACTGCCCCAGTCTCTTCTATAATTCCTGCCTCCGAGTCAGCTCCAGCTTGCTCTCCTGCACCAGTTCAAGCGAAAGGTCGGAAGTCTCAAACTGGACAAGAAGCACCTCGAAGAAGGGGTAAGAAACAGGGGCTGGTACCACCTCCTGTTCCTGGCAGTCTATCCTCTGATTTAAGACAAGATGACCTATCACAGGATAAAGCCACAAACCCAGTGGCAAATCAAGTTAATGTTGCAACCGACATTGTTTCTAATGCTTCTACCGCCCAGCTTCCCACTCATTTTCCTGGTTCTACCCCTTCAAAATGTGTCAATGTACCTAATGATCAACTTGCCATTGGGGTCTCGTCAAATTTGGAACCTAGTCCTGCTTTGCCTTCTGTGGCTTCTATCTCTCAATTTGCTCCTCTTTTAAATCCTCAACCGGTACAGCCTAGAGGACTTAGTCGGAAGACTCAAAGTGCAGCTGGAGCACCACGACGTAGAGGAAAGAAACAGGCAGCAGCAACTCCTGCATTGCCTAACGCCATGGCTGGTGCTAGTCTAAGTTCAAATGTGAATTTGCAAACAACCCTTATTGATTCTTCATCAAGTAAGGCTGTTGTTGTCACTACTACTAAAGAGAATACCGTCAATCAGGTGCCACATATTATCTCTGAGAAGTCGCTCCAGCAATCTGATGGAAGTACTGTACAGGGTCGAGAATCTACTAAACTGTCAGATAAATCTAATCAAGGCAAGTGATAGATAAATTTCAGCATGTGGTCATTGTCTTTGTGTATCAATTTGCTTTTTACTGAATTCAGTCGTTTAAATTATGTGCAGGGTCTACTCCTGAACAAAATCAAAATGCTAATTTACGTGACATTTCTGTTGTGACCAAGGAGGTTTCTTCTGGGGATTGCACAGCCAAAGCAAACTCTTCTGAGCACTTGGGTAATTGTGCTGGTACTGCCCAGGATTCAACCGCATCAAATAAAAGTGTCGATGAGACATTGAAGAGCCATAGTTTGCGGGACACACCTCATCCAGTTATATCAACTCCAGAAACTGCAATTCCAATATGTGGTCTGCCAGCCGTTTCTTTACCTGGATCTGTTGCCGTGGGTACAAGTCCCAAAACTAAAATAGATGTTGCTCCCGAGACTGCTCCTAGTTCCCAGCCAATCCAATCATTTCCATCAATGGCTTCAACCTTGCAATTTGCATCTCAGTCTCCATCTGAACATGTGCAACCTAAAAGGCAAGGTCGTAAGACAGCAAACAGGGAAGAACCCCCTAGGCGTAGGGGAAGAAAACCGGCCTCACTGCCTCCTGTCGTTCTCGATGGTTCAGCAAGCAAGGAGTCCAAAGATTTGAATGTGCATATGCAGGCAGCGCAGTTGGCGGATTCAAGTAGTAAAGACATAAGAGGTAAAACTGGGATTGATAATCTAGAATCAACCAGTGTTCAGAATCACGCAGGTGCTACCAAAATTGTAGATACTGTGCACTGCCAGGGTCCGAAAAGAAAAGAGCAAGCACCCAAACCTGCCCAGCATAAGCAGATGTTGGCATCATCAACAAAGATTGATGCTACTGGAGCCTTGGACAGGACCTCTGCATCAGGCCGTTATCAAGCTGCAAATGTAAATGATGTTGCTCGGGTAATGAAGGAGGTCTTCTCTGGGACTGGCTTGTCAAAAGCTAAAGTTGGAGAGTCGTCTGGGAAAGAGAACAAGGATGCCCCCGCAATACCTGTTTTGAGCAAGTCCTCTGTGGAGGTGATCAGAAATCATAAATCAGAGGCTGTGGCTACTTCAGCTACAATTTCAAATACTGACATTCCAGCTGAGGCCCATGAAAAAGAATCTTCAGTTGTAGCTAGTGAAATAAGACCAGAGTTTGCAAATGCTTTTGAAAAATCTATCATTCCGAAGATAGATGATGGAAATTATGGAAGTATAAAGTCTGATGCAGAAAATAAATTGGTCGAATCAGGAGAAACATCAACTGGATGCTTAACTGTGGCAAGTGACGTGAGATCAATGTCTCCATGTCCTCTTGGTACTGGTCCTGATGATGGTATTCGTGGTAGTTCAGGGGACTCAACGAATCTGGTTGGTTCATCTATGTCTTCGCCGTGCTCTAAAGATCCTCCTGCCGCAATTGATACAGATTGTGGAGATATAAGTGTAATTTCTTTGAATGAATCTCTTAAATCTTTTCTTCAGGTTAGTGGCTCTGCAATTTCGTCAAACGCCAACAATGCTGACCATAATCCCCCAGAAGCCTCACCTGTTTTATCAAGTCCTAGTGAATCTGATGCATCAAAGGCTCTTAAGGTGATGGATAATGTATCAGAGAACGAAACAAACCCTGTTGTTGGAGGATCTTTGAAATCTTCTCCTGATAGAAGCAGCCATGAATTTCCCTCATCTTTGAAGAATGATGGTGAAAATCTTCCTGCTCCTACATTGCCTATTCCTTCCGATAGCAGCCATTTAAGTACGGTAACTGCTCCATGTACGACTCAAATGGATTATGAGAACAGGCCAGAGCCATCTCTGGAAGAGATTCAAGAATGCCCTCTTGCTGCCACAATGATTGTCGATAATACCAGAGAAAATGCAGAAATTTCGGCTAACCAAGCTTGTCACAGTGAACTGTCTTCTGATACCTGTAAGAAAACTATTGACGATGAAAAAATGCCTTCTGTGGATTGTCCCAGTGAATTGTCTTCTGATATTCGAAAGAATACTCTTGACGATGAAAAAGTTCCTTCTGGGGGCTGTCCCAGTGAACTGTCTTCTGATGCACACATGCCAGGTCCCGAACTTGAAGTTCAAGGATGCCTTTCTGTAACTGCTACGGATATTGAGGTGAATGATACCGATCCTGCTCTTGAACAAATGGATGCTTCCTCAAAGCAGGATGATGACATTTTGCTGGGGAGGTCTAGTGGTAATGAAAATCATTTTAACACAGATGCTCCTAGTATGGTGACGCATATATCGGGAAATAACTTAGAGCCTGCTTCAGAAGAATTGCCAAATTTTCCTTCATCTGGTAATGGTAGCGTTCAAGTCCATGAAGTTCTTGCTGGAAGTCCTGATGATTCAGATATAGCTAAATTTGGTAGAGGTTCTGCTGTGGAGTTTGATGATTTGCTACCTCCTAGAGTTGAGGCTGTGGAATGCTCTTTTAAAACTGATGTTGAAGGCCAGAAGATATCGGAAACAAATGATAGTGGTAATCATATTCTGGAGGGGAATTCAAAGGTACCAGATAATGTGGAAAAAGTAATGGAAGAGAATTCTGAATTTGTCGATCACGAGGCTGTTCCCGAGAACCACATTCCAATATCTCTGGTCCAGGATAACAAAGATAACAAGTCTGAAAGCCATGACGCATGTCTCATGGATATGGACATCCCCAGGAGTGATTATATAATAGATGTTGCATATGCTGGTGGAGAAATCCCTGCTGATGCTTCACCTTCAACAATGGAGGAAGAAAAGGACTCAAAAAGTTCTACTGCTGTTCAAATGGACGTTGATGACAGAGAATGTGCACCAGAAGATAGAACTAATAATATGGATCTGCCATCATCTTCGATGCAGGGAGGGAAAGAAAATTGTTCTTTCACGGCTGTGGTAGATCAAGTTGATAGTTTACGGAACCTGAAGGAACCCAAAAATGTTGGAGTTAATGCCAATCTTCAAATCAATGCATCTCAGGATGATGATGTTATGGTTTCTGAAAACCTTGTGCGAGAAAATTCAAATGATTCTACATCTATTGCATCACAGGAAGAAAAGATTGTGGGATCTGGTGAGATAAATCAAGTGTCTCCCGGGGAGCAAAATCAATCTAATACTCAAGTTGAGGGTGATCTTCTTGATCGTGTTGAAGAAGATAAATCAGGAAATTTGGCCCAACCTTCATCTTTCTCGGAAGATAAGGAAATAAATATGATGTTGTACAATACAAGTTTAGGTAATTCAGGTGATCAAACTGATTTACCTGTATCCTCATCCACGGTGATAGACAGAGAGAAGATTGGGAATTCGGCAAATGATGATTTGTGTGACTGCACGGTTGTGCTCACTTCATCCGACAGGAATGAGGGCTTGTCTCAAATAGATCCCATTAGCTCCCCAGTCTCTGTGGAAGGACCAAGTAATTGTCAGATGAAAAGTAGTGACCATGTGGTTGCAACACAACCAAGTGATTGTCAGATTAAAAGTTGTGACCATGTGGTTGCAACACAGGATTACATTGTTTTGTCAGAAAACACATCTGATTCATTAGTTACTGAGGAAGACATGCTACACAATTCCTCTGAGAAAACCTTATCTGACAGCGCAGAACAATTGGAGGATTGTAAGGATTCCAGTGATAGAAATGACAAATTGGATCTCTCTCCCAACGACAAGGGACAGCTTTTAAACATCACTGAAAATGTTGTCTCTGATGATCCTTCCAATCAGCTTACAGTATCAAAGACAGTGGAAGCTCCAGCTGGTGATCAGATTGATGTTCTTCAAACTGGGGAGTCTGTACCAGTAAATGCAGTCGATATCTTAACCCAACCCCCACCTCCAACACCCATGGAGGAAGAAAAGTCCGAAGCCTCATTTGACAGTGGTCGAATTGCTAGCCCACCACAACTGAAAGACAACAAAGGTTTTCAGACTCAAACAGATCATCAAATGGATTCTTCTCAAGCTGGTGGGATTTTAGAAGAAAATGTATCAGCAGAAACAATGGTGCCTTCATCCCCTGTGTTGGAGGTAGGAGAAGCTGTAGTGCAATCCGGCGTTGAAGTTCAGACAATTGACCAAGCGGATGCTTATGAGGTTGGTCTCCCATTCCCGCCCAAAAAAAAGATGATTAAAGAAGAAAAAGGAAAATGCCACCTTACATTGTCATTTGAGACATTATTAGGCCCTGTTGTTTAATTGCCACAAGATTAACTTGAATGAAAAATCAGTTCATAAAACTGCCAATACCTATATATTTGTCTGATGGCTAGATTATGAGGGAGGATTTGCGGTTTATGTTTCTGATCTCTAAATGGAAAATTTGAGGACCGTCCAAAATCTTTAGTAAATCTTTAGTAACTTACGCTTGACAGGATTTTAAATCTTTACATGAGTGTAACTGACCTCGTCTATTTTCCTGGCCTGTATAGTATAGTAATGTTTCTCTGGCATTTCAGGTGGGGGAGCCATCTCTAGAAAAGACTGTAACAGAAATAGCCAATCCTCCATCCTCTGTACCCTCAGAAAACAGAAGTTTGGAAGGCTCACCAGTTCCGATTCTGGCCAATAGTGCCGTTGCAGTATTAGAAACAGCCTTATCCGATGTCGCTGATGTACCCACTGAAAATGAATGTTTGGCATGGGGCTCATCAATGCAGGATCCAGCTGATAGCGCCG